CGGCTTCACAGGCTAAAATTGTTAGTCATTAATTATTTCAAGAAAATTTATGAAGAGCAACTTGAGGACCTTTATCACCTGAAACAGAAAGAGAAATAAATTACCTGTCCTCTGAAAAAATTTCATCACGGGACTGATTTGTGACCAGTGTAGCATCAATAGTTTTTGGTTCAGAGGAAGTCTCATCATATCCGATTTGGGCCGGACAGTCACATGTAACCACAAGATGAGCACCTCCCTCGGTTACTGTCTTGTTACAGGTGGCCACCGGGGGACCATTTTGTTCATAGGCATCTGAGCCTGGACTTCAGTTATCACAGGCATTAGTATTAAAGATTTAAAAAATATCAGTATGTAACCCATACTTTACAAACAAAGCTAGGTCTTAGAAATTGAGACCCAAGTCCTCTAAGTTTGATTATTTTCGAGACACGTTTAATGAACCAGTGGTCTGTGGCCTCAGTTTGTCATCACAGGCATCAGTATTATAAGAATCAAATTGGAAAGAACTTGGGTCTGTAACCCGTACTTCACAAGAAAAGCTTGGGTCTGTAGAAGCATTATCAAAGTTCTCAGTCACAAGAGTGACCTGATACTCATCACATATAGCATAATGATCAAGAGATGGTGCAATAACAGAACATTCTGAATTTGCAAAAGGGATTGCAGGGTCTATAGCTAAATCAGAGTCAATTGCAGCAGAATGTGATTCAAAAAGAAGCTAAATCAGTATCAATTGGGACAATATCAGTACCAGAAGCTAAATCAGAGTTAATTGCAGCATAATGTGATTCAAAAGAAGATAAATCAGTATCAATTGGGACAATATCAGTACAAAAATTGTGTACCAAATTTAATGAGACAATGAGGTATCTTCCTCGGGGAAAGAGACTGCAGGGTACCCTTTGAATGAAACGGACAATTTGGCCAAAAATAGTATGAGGTCACAATTTGAGAAGTAACGAGCTTGAGAGCGCACAGGGTGGCCGGGAAGGGAGTCCCTTACTGCCGCTGCAAACGTCTGCTTCATAGGGGCAGCCAACTATCCATGAACCTCTGCCGGCGGCATGGTTTGCCGCACAAGCGCAAGGTAGAACACGTCGGCTACCAACCCAGAGAGATGGCAGAGCGTATCGCTCTAAGGAGGCGTCATATGTCCAAGAACTTTACCTTCACCGAAATCTCAACGATGATTACTGGGGTAGATGATACTCGGTGGGCGTTGGGCGGCTCCAACGGGAGTTTCTTTGTGAACCCTAAATTCTGAATTGGAAGAGGGTAGCGTATAGTGTATATCGAGGAAGAAGCGTGTAGCAATGAGAGGCTCAAAGAAGGCCATATCATCGTCAACGGAGGTAACAGACGCAGACAGAAAGTCGGGACTGTAGAAACGTCAATAGGCCCAACTAACCTTCATTCACCCTTTATATATATAGTAAGATATAAATAGTAAGATAAAAGAGATAGGTGTACCAAGTGCACAGTCAAAAGTTGGATCAGAGACAGACTCATCATTTCCATTTCGGGCCTAGAACGTATCATTTCCAGCATCACAGGTAGCTAGTTGATGAATTTCCTCGGTTTCCGCCACGTGAAGGGTGGCCACCCGGGTTTCATCAGACTACAAACCATTGGAAGTTGGACATTTGTAGCCTTAGCAGCGATACATGCAGCCTGCGTAGCATTTGGGTCATCTGTAACATTATTGTACACAACATAAGGGACTGTAGAACCATTTTGTGGGCCTGCAACATCAATAAAAGAAATTGTCCGGGCCTCCAAGGGCTTAGCAGTATCGGGGACATCAAATTCAGGGCTGGAACTATAACGGATGTTAATTAGTAACAACATCGATAAAAGAAGCTACATGGGCCTCCAATGGCTTATCAGTAACAAGTATATCAACTTCCGGTCTGGCACTTACAAAAGCATTAGTTACTTGGATAATAAATGGGATAGTAACAAGTTTATCAACAAATACATTAATCTGGGCATCATTTGGTTTCATACAAGGGGCATCAAACTCTTTCACAAGGGGCATCAAACTCAGTAGGAGCATCACAAGCAAGGGCACCCAAAGGTTTCACTGGTAACCAGGCTGTGGTTATACCCAGGGGCGGATACACACTCAAACTATTGGGGGCACTTGCCCCCAACAAAGTCCAATTTTTTAGCTTTATAAATTATATTTTATTAAATAATTAGATGTGTGCCCTCAATAAGAAAAAGAAAATGCCCCCAACAAAAAAGAAAGATGCTCTCATAACCCAATTAAATAGACGGATACAGAACAAAAATTAAGAGTGAGAAATTTATATTTTTATTCTATATATTCAATATTAACTTATACATATAGTAACTTTTATAGTTATGGAAGAAGGCCTAAGGCCCACAATAATATTGATTAAAATTCCATATAATACGACACTGAAAAAGCGTGGTACATAGCCTAAGGCTATGTTTGGCTGACATAAGTCTATAGCTTTTGGCTTTTGTACTATTTAAAAAGTCTCTAAAAGTTGTTAGTTGTTTGTTTGGCACGCCAATTTTTAAGAGCTTTTCAAAAAATAAAAGTTCTTTTTTTAGATGCTACAGGTAGTAGCATCTGAGAAAAGTCTGTGACTTTTAGCTTTAATAAATCTTAACAGCTTGTATGCCAAACAGAACTAAATCAAACAGTCAACTTTTTACCAAACAGCTACCACCTTTTGTTGGTCCCAATTTCTACTCTATAATGTATAAGATCTGATTAATAGGAGTAGAAGAAGCTTTCCATTGATAGCCAGAAAGTTTACACAAAGATGAAGAATATGTAGCGTAAAACTTCCGTAGGCTTCAAGTCTATGCGCAGGGAATTTTTCTAAGGGAGGAAAGCTTAACCTAGCCATTCCTAAGGGGTCTATTTATAGCCTCCTTAGAATGGTAGGTTTTACAATGATATGGGCTCTCCTTTTTAGGAGGCCCAATCCTAATTTAGCTTAATAGCCTTTTCCATTTAAGGCCTATTAAATACACAATAAATACTACCAAGAGGCTAGATAAAACATTGATCACAATACATGAAAATATCTCTAACAATCTCCCCCTTTGTGATCAGATGTTCTTTGTCGGCTCTTGTGGATCCTTCTGCCTCTTGTAGTAGTTGCTTCACAGTGCTAGAACATGTTCATATTGGCGCAGCATTCTCCTCTTTTGGAGTCGAGCGTTGATTGCGTCTAGCACCGCCTTCATTCGGTCAAATTCTTTCAATTTCTTCTTTCTTTGGTCTCAACTTCTTTTATCTTCTTGGAAAGGCTTCATGAAGAAATCCTTACAATCTCCCCCTTGGTGTTATTTATTTAATTTGTTCTTTGATGCCGGGGGTTGAGGGATTCTTCAAAATCTTGCTTTTAATCCTTGCTTTCCAGAAACTGCTCTTGATCAGCTTGAATGAAGTCATATGGCGCCTTCTAGAATGAATGTTCTGAAGAGATCTAGGCGCACAAGGAATTCATCTTCAATATTTGATCATCCGGCCTCTGTATCCTCCAGAATGTAGCCTTTTCTGACTATTTGATCGTCAATGCTTTTGAGGAACAATTGTCGGTAGCACAGCGGAAAATGATGGTTGACTTGTGAGCATAGCTGACCATTAGATCTGAAGCTGACTTGGTAGTTGATGAATCTGAAAGAGTGGAGAGCCGTCATTTTTAGTTGGAGGAGAGAAGTGTCCGAGAATGATTTTTGAGAGTAAACAGCGTGTGGACCACTCTCCCCCTTTATGACAATCCAATGAATCGGGATGTCTTGCCTTTATTCTTTTATTTTGGAAAACTGAAAATGCAAAACAAATGAAAAGATAAGAACCGGAGACACTGTGGTGTTCCGTTGACACAACATCAATGTAAACATTGATTTGTGGCCTGTATATAATGATAGAAACATTATAGATCTAACAGGACTTCCAACCAATCATTGTGAAACATCTGAAGTAGATGTCACTCTGGTTGTTATGGCATGATCACTAGGATCAGCATGGATAATTCTAGCCCCCCAGGGTCGTGTAGACACCCGTTATCATCACTATAGAGATGAACTCTAAATGATGGCCTGAAAATGTTGGTGATTTCTATGTTGCAACATCAGGACTTCCTTCCAATCATCGGTCCACATCTATATTAGATGAGCCCTATGGAAGTTCTCGCATGGTCACTTGGACCTGCAACTGACTCTAAAAATGTGTCTGTGTCCTAGAAAATTCAAAACATTTAGGAGTGAGATAACTAGACACAACGTGATCAATGAAAGTTCAGTGGCATGGGGCTGAGGGCCACTGTAGTCAGTATCAGTCGCCTCAGAAGGAGACGGTGATAAGAGATGAGGTTCCCCGTGAACAGTGATTAAACACCTGTCTGTTGGGAGACAAGTGAGTGGTCTAGGGTAGGGTTGTGCACGCGCTGTTTGGACAAAATGCAGCGACTTCTACCCGGGATCTGAATAAATTCAGTCCTGAACCTATGGGGATTGTCCGAAGTATTTGAGTGACTGGGATTGATTCCTCGATTGATAGCTCATTTGAGGTAGCAGTTTTGTCATTGATTATTGTCTTCTTGCTCATCGGAGCCTTCTGCTTCCTCACTCATAATATTCACTCATCTACTCACTCTCGGCTTTGTCCCTTGGGTAGGCTTAGTTGGGTTTACTAAGCCATTGGGACTTATCTCTCATTGATCTTGTTTATTTTCTCTCTGCGTACTCCCCCTCAACTGGAGCACTGAGTAGGATGCCTTTGACGATGTTTGGCGCTTGGGAGGAGAACTTTGAAAACTCCCCCTTAAAATTTGCATCCTTGAGAGAATTCTTGCATTTAATCTAGGTTGTTTGAGGGTTCAAGTTGGGGTTGTTGGCTAGATGAAGCACCATGCTCGAGTATCCGTTGCCTCTTATTCTCCCCCTCATGAGGAGCTGAATCATTGGAGTCCTCATGCAAATGTTTGTGACCGCGAAGACTGTCATGGCATGTGCTTTCGGTTTCAGGTACTACAAAAAGAGCTCTTTGTTTGTCAGTGAGTGGAGCTTCTTTGTTTTCAAGAATTCTCGCTAGCATAATGGATGCTAGGTCATCGAATGGCATTGTAAATGGGATAGGATAAGGATTGGGGTGAGTTGCTGTTGGGAGTGGGAGGATGAGGGTTGAGTTAGGGTTTGATGATGTCATTAAGAAGCGCCGGGGTGGTCCTGAATTCCTATGCCCGAGCGGTTATTGCTTCGTGCACCCATGGTTTAATGGTGGAATCCAAGCAACGCTGCTGAATGACTGCAAGGTCGGTAGGGTTAGGGTTGTCCGGTTACAGGGGTAGTAACCGTTGTCACAACATCAGTAAAGTTTACTGGTGTGTGGCCTGTAGATAATAATTGAGTTATCTGTTGAGCGGCAGGACTTCCGATCATCATCGAAGTATCTCCGATCGTTGTTGACAGGGAAAGTGGACCTGTAGAGTGAGGTGGTGTGAAAAGTGTATGTGTCCTAGCAAATTTGAAAATGTAGGGAGTGTGACACCTAGACTCAATGTGATAGAAGAAAGGGTAGTGGCCCGGGGCGATAGACCACTATGTACATCCTTAACTGCTCCGTAAGGGGGCAGAGAGGTGGGTATAAGATCCCCTATTGTTGAAACTACTACCTGTTGGGAGGCAGCAGAGTGGCTAGGTGTGGCTTGTGAATGCGCAGTTGGACTCGGTGCTGCGTCTTCTACTCGGAAACTGAGAAAGTCAGCTTCTGCTCCTATGGGGTTAGTCCGGTTTACTACATCTAGGTCTGTACACTCGTCAAAAAAGGTTATTTCTACCGCCAGGCTGCTTGCGGTTTGTATCCTCTCAATAGGAATGAATGATGAGGAAAGATGTCATTTTGATGCTTGGAGCGCGTCTCACTTATGATAATTACTTCTTTGTTTGTCTGTGAGTAAGACGCCTATCTTTCAGCTGCCGTAGGGAGCCTGATAATGAGTCATTATTTCTGTACCGGAGGCTCCCTAGCTTGATTGGCGTTGTCGTCCACATCATAATTATCCTCATCACCCTTATTGTCCTTGTTGTGCTTGTTAGCCTTTGTAGCCGAAGACGCGGATGAAGGCAATGTTAGGGAGACCCTTGAACACAATCTCATAGGGCATCTTGTCGGATCGTTTGTGAATCACTGTCCAGTTCTGTGTGAAGCAAGCCGTGTTGATAGCTTCAACCCACATGAATGAGGAAGCTTCTGACTGTATTAGCATGGTTCTGGCTGCTTCCACCAAGATCCTGTTCGATCGTTCTACGACACCCTTTTGCTTTGGTGTTTCAGCTACAGAGAACTGTTGTGTAAATCCCTGAGCTTCGTAGAACCCAGTCAGCTCCTTGTTTTGAACTCCGTCCCATTATCAATTCTAGTGTTTGGAGCATTTGATGCATGAACTCTTTGGTGTTGGTCACCTTGGTGTTGTCAATGGTGAGTTTCAGAATTCTCGCACCAGAGGCATCTCTTGCTTAGTTGAGTGTTCCCCAGAATTGTTGGAGATACACCCCTAGTGCTTCGACAATTTTTGTTTAGGGCCTTCTAAATTTTGCGGCCTTTGAGTACAACCACCACGACATCCTTGAGTTTTCTTGATTGCTACTGGTTATGCCATAACGTCCTTGGGTTGTCTTGCATTGATCCTTGATTTGCGTCAGGAGGAGAAAATTGTAACCCCCCCTCAGAATGTGCAAGGTGTTGTTTGTCACCCGGGGAGTAAAGTAGAAAACTCCCCCTTGATATGTGCTTTCTTCTTGTAAGGCACCAGGAGGAGTGAAAAAGAAACACTCCCCCTCAGAATAAGCACTTGTTGTTTCTTCTTGGCATGTGTTGGTGTTGAGGTGTGCATTTGTTGATTTTCTGCTCAGTGGGGTAGTATACATGCCAATACTCCCTTTAATAATGTGCACCAATTGATTGCTCACAGCTCTTCTCACCCGCCATGTGTGTGGAGCAATCGGATCAGGTACCACACATGGCGGACCTGCAAAACAGATTAAGTACATTTCGGTACCCACCTCCAAGTGGGTCCTTCCTTATCAATGTCAAAGAAATGTTTCAGCTTTTGTTTTATTTGGGAACCTAGGCCAGCTGATTGAGAAGTGTTTGGCGTTCTTAATTTTTCAGCTTCGGCCTTAGGAACCCATTGTTGTTTGAACTTTGGAGCAAGGGAGATTTCATTAACAGTGAGTGAATGTTCAGACAGATGATCTTTTAAAATTGTTTCTTGAGAGAGTCTTTTCAAATGTTTAAGTGAGTGAACCTTGAGGGGATACTTTAAACAAGGTAATTTGTACTCTCCCTCAACGTTCACCTTCACAGAAGTTGATTTCTTTAGGCATCTCTGAACATTCACATTCTTATCTTTGTTGGAGAAGGAATCAGAATCAAAACAACAAACTTTCATTGACTTAACACAATTCAGAGAACAAGTACTAGAGTAGCAATTCTTAAAAGATGTCTTAGAACTAGAGCACTTAGGAGCCACTCTTTTAGCATTACTAGTCGAGGGTTCGCTTAGGAAATTCCTAGGAACACCACTTCTAGTACTACTAGTTGAAAGCTCACTAATGCCAGATCTAGACTTATTCTTTACGTAAAACAAAGCACTCGAACGTTGATTTTTATTTCCTAGATGAGATTCTTCTTCTTTCTTCCTCCTTCTTAACTTCTCCTCGATCCACTCTCCTCTCTTCTCAACTCTCTTCTTCACATGGTTTCCGGTCTGAGAAGGAGGCTCAGAGTGAGTGGAAGAAGTTTTAGAACTGTTGGTTGAATTTTCTAAGCATTTTTCTGAGGAAGAGTGGGAAGAGGGTTGAGAAACTGTGATGGACTGAGAGGATGTTTTTAACATGGATATTTCTTTCAAAAGTTGATCTCTTTCAAGTTCAAAAACCTGTTTTTCTTTATCGAAAGATTCTTTTAACTCAGCAAACTTTCTCACAAGAGGTGGAATGTATGCTGGTTTGACTACAGGTTCTAAAGTTGAAGGTTCCTCTCCATCTTGCACAGTTTCCTTTTCAGGAGCATAAGTTATGACTTCATCAGCAGGAGTCAAAGGGGGCTCTTTTGTTTTGTAACTCTTGTTTAACTCTGTGTAGTCAAAAGGAACCTCGACACCGGCCTTTGTCTTTCTCTTTTCATCCTCGAGGGCATTCGTTTCTTCAGCTCCAGTGAAGGCCATGAGTTTGGTCAATCCTATTTTCATGTATCTAACATCATAGAGTTGTCTACAGTTGACCTTTTTCAGGTTCTGAGGATTGGTCAAACCCAGGCCCTCCCTGGCGTTATAGAAACGAGTGTCCTTAGGCTGGTTAAGGAAAATAGTCTGGTCTGTTTGGTCTCTCTTGGCTAACAGGTCTTCAAGTTCTTTGATTTTAGTGTAAAGAGCACCCCTTCTTTCCATAAGTAAATTGTTTACACCAAAAAGTCTAATTCTCTCTTTCTCAGTAGTTCTAAGTTTCTCTGTCAGTTCTTTTTCGCTAGCACTAAGTCTTTTGTTCTCTGTTGTGAGCTTAGTGATAGTTTTCTCTGAATTGATTATTTTGATGTTTGAGCATGTCTGTTTTTCACGCAGTTGATTATAGACATCATACAATCTATTGTATTTCTCCTCTAGCTCCTTAAATTTATCATGCATATCTGTTTTAGAGCAAGCAGAATTAAAAGGGTTAGGAGTACTTACAGTGTTGTCTGCATTCTTGTTTTGAGCAGAGAGGACAGTCACTTTATCAGCAATATTGGGAGTGGTCATGATTGACTGTTGAAAATTGATCGTTGACGTGTGGTTGATTGAAGATTTCTGCAAGTTTGTGACTCTTGAAATGTAGCTTTGATTTTGAGAAAATTTAGTCTTGACCTTGAGATTTTTTTTTTTTTTTACTTAATTTTTTTTTTTTTTTTTTTTAATCTCAAGGTTGACTATTTGAAGCTTTGAAAAAGTGTTGAGCTTTGGTTTTGGAGTTTGACCTCAAGGTTTAAAGATGGGCTAAAAATTTGCACTTGAAGTGAGTTTTGGAAAAAAATGTACTTGTCCAAGTGAAGGGAAAAGTAAGCTAGTTAACTTATCCCACACCTAAACTCTTTGGAAACTTTTGAGCCTATTTATATGGAGCACTCCTTCCTTAAGATTAAATGGTGAAGGAAAAGAGAGGAGCTCTCGCGCACATGGGATTTCGGCTTGTAGTTCAAAAGCGAAAATTCGCACCCCCCCTGCGCGGGCGACCTGCGGACACGATAGCCGCAAAAGTTGTCGGGTCTCAAAAGACGGTTTTGCCCTTTCCTCCTTTTTTTTTAAAGATGCGCGATGTGTGCTCTATCGCGCAACTCGTTTGTACTGAGATCGCGCAAATAAATTATGCACGCACAAGGATGGATCGCGCAAGTAAATCGCGTCAACTGTAACTTTTGCGCAAGTGACAGTTTCGCGCAACTACTGAAACTTCGCGCAAATCGCTGTTCTAGCTCGGACAATCGCGCACCCGGGATGGATTGCGCACCTGCAAAACTTTCGCGCAAGAAAAAGGGAATCGCGCAAGTGAGCTCAGATCGCGCGAGAATGATCGCGCAACAGAGTATTTCGTGGAGGCCTTGTTCACCTAAATCACGCAACTAGTTTTTCGTAGAAAAATCGCGCACCTGCAATCGCGCAGTACTCGTGTTTCGCGCAACAGAGTACCTAGATAGCGCAAAAGAGTAATCGCGCAAAAGAGTAATTCTGCGCGAATGTGCAGAATCGCTCAACTTCAGCTTAACCTGTACGCCAAATTTCTAGATGCGATTTTTCACAGAATGAAACCTTGGAAGCCTAGAAACACTTTCCTGCAAAATTTTCCTGCAAAAATAACAACAAAAATAATATACAAGATCGCGCACAAGGCAGAAAAGTGCCAATGAAAAATCGCGCAAATCCTGTTCTTCAACTTCAATCGATCGATCAATGGCAGAAACTTCAATCGGTCACACGCTCTGCTCTGATACCAATTGTTGGTCCCAATTTCTACTCTATAATGTATAAGATCTGATTAATAGGAGTAGAAGAAGCTTTCCATTGATAGCCAGAAAGTTTACACAAAGATGAAGAATATGTAGCGTAAAACTTCCGTAGGCTTCAAGTCTATGCGCAGGGAATTTTTCTAAGGGAGGAAAGCTTAACCTAGCCATTCCTAAGGGGTCTATTTATAGCCTCCTTAGAATGGTAGGTTTTACAATGATATGGGCTCTCCTTTTTAGGAGGCCCAATCCTAATTTAGCTTAATAGCCTTTTCCATTTAAGGCCTATTAAATACACAATAAATACTACCAAGAGGCTAGATAAAACATTGATCACAATACATGAAAATATCTCTAACACCTTTTACTTTTAAGATCTTTTCAGTCATTAAAAGCTAACAGTTACTAAAAAGCTCACAAAAAAATCTTTTCAGCTAATTGTACCAAACATGGCCTTAGTTGTTACTTTACAAAGGTGGTTAATTAATTCAGGAAAAAGTTAGCTATTGATTGTTTACTTTTTCCTCCATTCTTTAGTATAACTTTACTGGGTATGAATTTGTTTTATTTTAAAACTAGTAAATTATTGATTGACATTTTTTATATGTAGTGATTTCGTAATATTTGAGTTTATACATTTTCCATGAGTACGTGTGTTGCAATTGAATTAGACTTGAGTTGATCTCAGTTCTTTCTTTTTTGTGTGCAGTTATGTAGTATTTTGATCGATAATACTTTGATAAAAAAAATTGTTTAAGACGATGAATATTGATCAAATGCTTAGATAAAAATCAATATAACGGTTTAGTTTTAGTTGTGTTTCTCTTAATGTCAGATAAGTATTCTTGGTGTGTAGTGTCTTGAATTATTGTTAATTGTGTATTTACTTTCTTTTAATTTCAAAGATAAATTAAATTTAATGTAATATTTGAACGAATTTTTAAACTACTTGTTTGCATGTTGCACCTGTAATACTATTTGCAATTGATTTAGATTTGTGTTTTTGAAATGAGTTTACAATAAAATATTTAAACAATATATATATATATATATATATATTATTGTTTTAATGCAAAAAAAATCCGTCAAAAAAACTAATAAATAGATTCCAAAATAATGTGTCTCTACCACTATTATGTGTCATCTAGCGGTGCCCCCAATACCAAACTTTTCTGGATCCGCCACTGGTTATACCACTATATTGTTTTCATGTGAGCTTTGAAACTGGAGCTAACCAAAATTCATCTTACATTTGCATCCCCCATGGCACGTCATTAAAACAATATCACTGTGTTGGACCGGCATACCATGCTCATGGGGGTTTCGTGTTTTTTTTATAAAAACGACAGCGTATTTGGACCGGCATACCATGCTCATGGTATGCCGGTCGTACGGTATAATTTGCCATTTTATATACATAAATTTGAAAGTTGAAAATTGTCTAATTACATACTACACGTAAGATTAAAAGAATTGTAAAGTTCGGTTTGCAAAAAAAAAAAAAATTGTAAACTTTATTGATATGACTATCATTATGTTATTCTGGAAATACATATGCATAGGATTCACTTACTCTATTTTGGGAAATTTTATTCTAACTTATTCTTTTAAGTAGAACTAAATAAATCATATCCGAAGAATAAACACATATAGTGTTAAATGTCCCACACTGGAAAATTGATAAGCATTAGAGTGCTATATTAAGCTTCGAGCTACTCCTCCTAACAGGTTGACCTTTTAAGATGTACCCTGGATCTTAACATATAGTCCTGTTTTTCATCTCTGTCTATATTCTGGTCTTATGTTGAGACATTCTATCATATTTATATGCCACGTAAGTTCTATTTTCTTCTGACTAAAGCCCAACTACCTAAAACGCGAAAAATTGTTTTCCTGAGAAAAAATACTTAAGCTTCAATCACAAACAACCAAAAATAATACACAATATATATGATGCAAAGATTATCATATACTAATTAATACTATCATAACCTAGTCATTTTTGCTACCTTTTTATGTAGTCAAACATACAATTATAAACACTAAGACACACATGATAATTAGTATAGATTAACAGAACAATTAGTAATTTTTATTTACTCTAGGACTCCCTGGATAGTACAATTGGTGAGAAATCAGAATGTAGGGTAGCGATGATTTTTCTCGATCTCTTTCTTTGGACCTTTTGGTAGCACCGTATTGGTTCTGTATTTTAATTTAGTACGTATTAGAGCAATTATATTTATATAAATTTATAATGTACCATATGTATTTATGCACGTTTAAAGTTGTTGACACTTAACACTACGTGACCATGTATCTCTCTATGTTACCTTAATTGTTGTGCAGTGATTCCTCATGCAAATTGTATGTGATATCTTTTGTTGCTGGAACTACGAATTGAATGTAATACCTTAGCTTGCCGGAAATATACAATGCAAATGATCGATCACGAAATGTTTTAAGAGAATGAAGTTGGTGCACCGTGCACATAGGTGTAACGTAGTAATATATTTATTTCATAATAAAAGTGAGAGTGTGAGACTGGATCTTCATTATATTGACCAATCTTTACTTTATACTAAAAAAATGCACTACGGTAAAAAATAATGACGACTATTTGAAAGAATGTGCTAGCTTTTTAGTGTTATACTACGTATATTTAAAAATGTTTCCCTGTTCTCAGTGGAGGAGCTAGCTTGGGGGGCAAGTGCCCCCGCTTCGACCAATTTTTTTACTAGTACTACCTCCGTTCTTAAATAAATGCAACATATGGAATTTTACATTATTCACATGTTCTACTTTGACTTCGTTTTATTTATTAATGTATAAATATATTTTATGAAAAAAATATTGTTAAATTTGTCTCATTGTAAATTTTCAATATCTATTTTTTTTAATTTTTTTACTAATATAAATTTATATATATTAGTGGTCAAAATTATGTCTCGGCAAGTGTGAAATGTTGACCATTACATTTATTTAAGAACGGAGGAAGTATTACTTATAATATATTTCTTGCCCCGGCTTCTTTTTTAGAAAATAATAAGTACAACTTAAGGTTAATTTAAGATTAAGTGTTAAAATAAACTAAAGAGTGTATTTTAAAAAAGTAAAAATGAAATATAGAATAAAAAAGGAAATAATTGAGTCATTGACTAAAAACAGTAATGCTTAAAAAGAGACAAATGGGCATCTAGTGATTCTAGTCTAAGGCCAGGTAGAAAAACGGACAAATGGAGCTTAAAGAACAACTCCAAGTTTGGATATATGCATGAGATGAGAGGAAATGAAGCATTTTCCACCCTACAAAGTATTGGTGAAGTGTCTAAGAAGATTGTTGAGCTTACAAAGTTACAATTCGCAAATCTTTTCACTTGATCTATCGTCTTATTGAGTTGGCTCTAGTGTTACAAGTTGCAACAGCCATAGTTGAAAGAGCTTTCTCAACGACAAATATGATCAAGACAGATCTCCGCAATAAGATGAGAGATGACTATCTTACGGATTGCTTAGTATGCTACATCGAAAGAGACATTTTTCAAGCAATTGATAATGAAGTAGACCTGTACAAACACGGACCGGCCCACCCACCCCGCCCAGCCCGCCCATATAAATGGGCGGGTCTGGACATGTATATTTGCCCACCGGCCCGGCCCGGCCCGAGCCCGATAAAAATGTGGGCGGGTATGGGTTCAATTGTAGGCCCATTCGGGCCAAAAAGCCCGTCCTAAGCTCTTGAAACTCCTTGGAGCTAAATTATTATTTGTGTTTTGCTAATTAAATTTCAAGTGACTGTAATGGGTGACTATTCAAGTCTTTCGGAGTGTTTGGACATTTTTGTTTCAATTTATGGTTTGATTTTAAATTAACGGTATTGTTTTGGATAAAGGTTTTGCTCAAAGTAGTTAGTGTATGTCAGTATGCCATGAAGGCAGATTAATGTCATTGAGTTATTAATTGATTTTAAGATGTTGTGATTTATTTTAGAAATGCTATCAACTAATGCTAAATTTTCCTAGGCCCGGCGGCCCGATGGACTGCCCGGCCCGCTAGTATGAGCGGGCATGAGATATGGATATGGGAGGAGGCCCGTTTGATCCGCGCAGGGCCGGGCCCGCCCATTGAAGTAGGTAGAAATTTTAGATAAAGCCCGGCCCGAGCCCGTGTTTGTACAGGTCTATAATGAAGCTATTATGGAGCATTTTCAAAATATGAAAATTCGTAAGATTGATTTGCCTAGGTTGCAGAAGTGAATCAAGTAGTATCTAATGAACTATAATGTTGTGCTAATTTATTACACTATTGTATTTCTTATGATATTTTGGACACGCGCTGTAAAATTTTTAGCCTTCAATTTGCCCCTCCTTAGACACACCTCTGGCTCCGTCACTGCCTGTTCTCAATAGCTTTAATTTGCAGATTTAAAGTAGCGCAATTAGGCAATTACCAAAGCTATATGGCCATATGGGTGGGTATCGATAACAGAAAAGGACGGTCAGAAACTGAAATAGCATATCGCGTTTGCTATAAAAGGCTAGAATAAATGGTCAGTCGCTTATAATTAAACAATAGGTGACTTCGTATCAAATGTCATACTCCGTATAAATTAAAAAGCATATGAGTATACTTTTTATTAGTGTATTTACTTGATCTTTTAAAATCAAAACTTTAGAATTCAATCTAGATACCGTTTTAATATTTACATGTAGACTCAAATGGCCCTCACGGGGACTACAAATATGTAACTTGCTCACGGATATCGGGAACCCGTTCGGTCCATACCGACCAGGGCACCCGGCTCGATACATCAACCCTATACTCCCTCCGTCCCCTTTTAAATGTTCCGGAAGAGGGTGACACGAGTTTTAAGAAAAGTGGATTTGTGTGGTTGATATTTGTTGAGTTTAATCCAACACGATATAGTAAATATATGTATAAATGTGTATGAAGAAGCTCTTTTTACGTGAAACCCGAAAGGGAGAAAACCACGGGACTTTTTAGGCTAATGTCCAAGCTCTCTCATTCTCATTAGACTCTTCTCACCATTACATGGTACAAGTATTGAAGCTCTCATTAATGGAGGATAAAGCTAGCTAATCTGTTCTAGAGAGAAGGAGGAGAAGTGGGGAAGAAGAGACCCACCATAACATAGAGGGAAAGCCTTATATTTATAGGGAAAAGGGGGTAGGGAATAAATCTACCCTAATGGCCCGAATGGGCCGAAATGGGCCCAAAGGCCGAAGCAGGCCTGATAGGCTAAAATGGGTCTTACTGATTGGGCTCCGTACTACGTAAAGTCTTGGGCTCCTGAACAGTAATAGGCCGGGATAATATATCCTAACAATGTTAATTGATAAAGTAATACTCCGTAATAAAGTAAGAATGATTTTGAGCCACACAATGTTTACCAAATAAGGCATCAGACAATTAAATAGTGACATCTCAATACGGTAAAACGGGACATTTAAAAGGGGGCGGAGGGAGTATGTACTATTATGTGGTACAAATATTCGTATTTATTTCATTGTAAAAGAATAACAAGTTTGCATTTAATAGTTTAGACTTCTCTCTAGTTTTTCTTTAATCTTTTCCCGTTATCCTTTTGGTTTCATATTGCTTGATTAATTAAAGCTCAGAGCAGGGGTGTAGATATGGAGGTCAACCCTGACCCGTCTAACTCCAAATTTTAAAAATGTCTTTTTAATGTAAAATTTTTTGAAAAATATTCTTTGTATGAGTAATGAGTCGGTTCAGTTTAGTGTCCTGGCTCTCGCTTGACTCAAATGATTGTGTCGAGCATTTGGACGGCGAGAACTAAATCTCAATGGTAACTATGACAAAAGACGATTCGTCGGCTGCTTACCAAACACAATCGTATAGTCATATACTCATATAGTAGTAGGGTGTATGTACATACTTTGAAGGTGTTCGCAACACATGTTAATATTAATTATTAATGTCGCAAAATTTAATTCATTAGGCATACCACTACCAAAAAAATTCGGTATAGGCACGGAAATTCATCGGCACCGGTGTCATACTCCGACACCGGTGCCGATGAATGAACTGAATGGTGATTCCAATGAAGTCGGGATGGACGACCTTTTCAATGAGTTGGGGGGCAATGATGCTGTGGAAGCTAGGTTGTAATTTTCTGTTTTTAAAGCTTTCGGACTTATCTAATGTTTTTTGGATATCCCTCATGAGGAATCTGGACAATGTGGAGGTTTTGTGGTTAATTTGTTCAATCTGGACAGCTTCATTAGGGTGCCTTCCACCCAAATTAACAATGCCACTGTTTATTAGTTATGCTTGAATGACATGTTTTGTGGTTATTTTGTTCATTATATTACTTTCTTTTAATTCAGATATTGCTTGGGTAAAAAAACATATACCGTATAGGTGTACAATCTTACTGTACACCTATACGGTATTTGTTTTTTAATGGTTTTCATTTGGATCAGATTTATTTCCCAGACACACAATTCAAATTTGAAATTTTGAATATTCCCTGCCAAAATTTTGATTCCAAAACATCACCTGGGTTCTGTTGTGATGGCATGATCCGAGCCAAGTTGGCACGGAATTAATCTGAGACAAACCCATCATATTATATTGACTAATTGGTCCTGCAAAAGCGGAGCCAAAGACCGTGTCAAAGTTGGAACGGATTAAAAATTCCGTGCCAATCCATTTGGCTCGAGCTGGGTGGCTGGGAAAATTATTCCGAGCCAAAACCGAGCCAAACCCATTAGTCTGGGAATATTCTGAAGGATTCCGAGCCAAATTTCTTGCCTATAGCGATTCTTTTTTGTAGTGTACGTACATACTGATCGGATCACACCCTAAGATTAGGCATACGTACGGATCGGATCACACCAAGAATAAGATATCATTCTTGCTATATTTTTGTTACCCTAATTTAAATTTATACGTAACAATATTAATATGAGTCTACATACATACCACCAAATTTTTGCCATGCTTTCTTTGTCTCAGTGTTCATTATACTCTCTCCGTCGTCCCCGAAAGAAGTTCCTCATGCCATTTGACTTTCACACACTTTTATGCAAGTAAACTTATCAGGGGTAAAGTTTACTGTTTCGACATTGTTTCGACACTGTTTGGCACTGTTTGACACTGTTTTGCACTGTTTGGCACTGTTTTGATGTAGATAACTTTCCATTTAAGGAAATGTAAACTTAAATTAGGGACATCCAAATAAGGAAAATGAGAACTTCTTTCGAGGACGGAGGGAGTATTATTGAGACACCCATTCATTCGGAATGATTGGTTAAATTATACTCGTACTAATAATCAAATTCATTTTATATACATAAACTTGAAAGTTCAAAATTCTCTAATTAAATATTCAATTCCCTACGTCCCTATATAAATAGCACACTTTTCTTTTTGGGCTGTCCCAATATAAAAGACATATTTTTTTTGTCAAACAAAACAGCGTCAAACAGTGTTCGAACAGAGCCAAACAGTGTTCCACCTAAAGATGTGTACAAAAGCAAACATTCTCTTTACATAGGGATGGAGGGAGTACTACGTAATATTAAAAGAAGTATAAAGTTCATTGATATGACTATCATAATGTTATTCTCAAAATATATAGGGCGTACTACCTCCGTCCCTCTAAGTTTGGGACAAAGGGGTGTGGTGTGGTCTTTAAGAAAAAGTGGAATTGTGTAGTTGGTATTGAATTGATAATATGTGAATACAGTAAGAATGAATTCTAATCACTCAAATGTTACCAAATATGGTATGAGTCAAACTTAGTGGGACAAACGAAAAAGGTAAAACGGGACAAACTTAGGGGGACAGAGGGAGTACTCATTTATTAGTATTTTGGGAAGTTTTATTCTAACTTAATCTTTTAGTATAACTAAATAAGTCATATTTGAAAAATAGACATATTTTTTAACTCCATCAATATTTTGGTCTTGTATTGAGACATTTCTATCATATTTATATGCCACTGCACATCATTCTATTTTCCTATGAAGTAAAGTTCAAGTACCTAATACGCGAAAAAAATGTTTTTCTGTGAAAAATACTTAATCTTCAATCACAAACCAAAAATAATACACAATATAATATAATGCAAAGATTATCATTTTTGCTAATTTTTATTTTGTCACACATACAATTATATATAGACACAAATTACACACATTTACACACATGATAATTAGTGTATATTATCAGAACAATTAGTAATTTTTATTTACTCTGACTCTCTGGGTAGTAGTATAATTTTACAAACTACGTGCATGGTTTATCTTTAAAACATGTGTCATTCTCCTTCTTGAAGAAAAACTGGACCGGGAGAGCCCCTAGCCCGATACCCAGGTGGTTATACCCATTATTCTTAATGAACCCGGCCCAATAGCAAGTTGGAAAGCGATCCGATGATTGACTTTCAACGCAGTAAACAATCTTGTACCCAAGCCTCACTCTCTTGATCGCAAACTGGGCCGATATAGACTTTGGGCCTGCTGCCACGAACATCTGGTGTGGAAATTCTCCGCTCTTTAAGTACCAAGCGGGCCTGAAACGTCTTCGTTTCTTCTTCGAGGCCCAGTCCTCTTTTTCTCCGTCGCCGGAGTCTTTTCCGGCGATGGAGAACTGGACCTTGTAGAACGTGTTCTCCCGGACAATGCGACTTTTTTCGTCATCGCCGTCGTCGTCATCTTTTATCGGCGAGAAGGTGATCGGGAATCCACGTGAGTCTTCCTTGAAGAAGGGGCACTGGACAACGTCGTTCCTGGCCGCCGTGTATCCGTTGGTGTTGTAGGGTAGGCATAAGCCGAGTGGGTGTAGGAAAGTGCCCCCGGAGAATGCGTAGTACGGCTTTCCGAGCATGAGCACGTCACCGTTGACGTCAAACACCGGCGGGGAGGAGGACGGAGACGGTGACGAGAAGGCGACGGAAGAGAGGAGTAGAGGTGGCAGCATGAGAAGGAGATGACCGATCATTTTGTTATTTTTGGAGTACGTATAGTACGTGTTGGTTTGCATGGTTTGTAAAGAGAGGGAGGCTATACTAACCTTTTTATAGGGAGTTAGTTATTTAGGCAAAAATGCAAAACTCCTCTTTCTACACGTATGATGTGAGCCTTTCTCCCTTATTTTTCATTCCTACAATGTCTAACCAAAAAAACTCAAATAAGATGCAACTTATGTGCAATTGTGCAAATATAAACAAAAAATTGTACTCAGTATTATTTTGTCTATTTGAAAATTGTACTTCATTCTTCCTGTGCTAAAATGGTTTAATTTGGAATTTTACTTTTTTTTATCATAGCCTGATTTCACTCTGATTTTAAATATCAACTTATGATTATTTGAGGATCAAATTCTCCTTTGAACTCAATAGAACTGTAATCTATTTTTCAAGTATATGAATTCTAATGACACTAATTAATGTGGAAAAAGTAAGCAATAATGAATTACGAGTACTGTTTTAGGAAATTGTCCTTTTTTTAGCAAAAGGAAATTTTTATTAGGAAAATTTTATGGTGCGTTCGTAAAACGGTATGTTCCGGTACAAACCCCATGGCATTATGCGATTGAATAAGAGTTCCATGTCATTTATTATGTAGAACTGAGTAATGTATATTGCAGTTTAGTCCCTATGGTATGTAAACGTATACAATTAATGTTCCCAAGAAGAAAGAACATTGACAAAATTAAAAAATCTCCCAATAAGAATAAAAAAGAAGACCTGGGAAGAAAAAAAGATGGATGGATGATAAAACCGACATATATCTCAATAAATAATGATAATTGAAGAACTCATCGATGAATTAGCATTCAGCACAAAGCAAAATTAATAGGAGTACATAGTAAATATTATGTCTTGAGACTTGAATCGAATTTGTAGTTAGTAGGCTATCCCTTATGTTCCAACTCAACGATGCCAAATTTGTCATCTTCCCCTTACTTATAAGGTCTCTAATTAAGAAGAAGGTATGAAACCTTCAATACTTTCTGGCACTGAAAAAATGACAAATTATTTTGGAATTGAAGACACAAAAACCAGGGATATCGAATTTGCACATCGCCGAAACTCAAATATTCAGTCAATTATTTTTCACACAAAAAAGCATTGGGAGCAGACAGACTAAAAGATCATTAAAGCAGGCCGGCCGAGTTTTTGGCTGATCAAGTTTTGGGCGGAATTGCGGATTTGATTTAGGGATTTAGATTTGAATTTACCTGATACTACTATCATTTTAGTGCATACGTTAAATTGGGAATGATTTTTTCGTCTCTGTGTTTAGTTCTCCGGAACAATAATGAACTATGCTTTTTTGGGCACATGGCCATCGTGTTTGAGAAAATTCTGGTGAAATTACAATGAGTAAAGAAAATTCTCCGGAATTTCAATCCGCTATAATAAACTCCACGAAAACTGGATCCAAGCATCACAACCGTAGTGAGCAGCTCAATAAAGTTTATGATTTCCATATCTAAATTTATTAAACTTAAACAATTAAAAGATAATGAGAAGGAATTGACGAAGAAGACGATGCAGAGAGAGAAGAAGTTGCGTCTTAAGGAAAAAGAGATCACAGGAGGAAAAGGATTAACGGAAAAAGTATAGAAAATAAAAACTTATGTAATTAAAAACTAAAAGGATTAAATTGCTAGGGAAAATGGAAACTAATAATCCAACTTTTTAGCGGTCTTCTTTTAATAGTCCCACCTTTTCGTTATTCATGAATAATCCAACCTTTGCACCTCATCTCCATTCACTGGTCCCTGACCGGTTGATGACCTGTTATTCCAAGTTATTTTCTTATCTTTGCAAAATATTATCTTTGTGAAAGGTGGAATTTATGGTATAATAGTTTGGACAAAGGTTAGATTATTTATGTAAAGTTTTTTTTTAACCAAGGTGACGTTGCATCATTAAACAACTTGTCCTGCTCTTATTTGTCCACCTTTGGAATGCACCAAAAGGTCCCACAACATTGATGCACTAGAGAGCTACCCTTTACTAATATACAAAGTACTACAAATTGCAATCCGGACCATAACAATATAACATAATGTTCGACCAATATGTAACTGTGCATTTAAAACCAATTGTATCTTGTACACAAAAAATCTCACACAAGATTAAATGTACAAGGTCCAAAACGATTTTTAGTTTAATTTCTTACCTTTATCTTTTACTAAAATAAATATAAAATAAAAAAGATTGACTTTCTTATTTGAGTTTTCCATTAGTTAAATGTATATAATTATACATTTTGTGCCATTAATTAATGTATTTCTTTTGAAACTAAATCATGTATCTTTATATATAAGTATTACTAAATTAAATTCAAAAAACAAGAATATGACTTATTCTAAAAAAATAAAAATAAAAATGACATATTCATTGACTAGTTTTCAGTGACTCGTCGTCTACCAATGATTTGTCAAAAGAATAGCATATTTTTTTTTTAAAGAATGACATAAATATTACTCCACAACTTTCCTGGGACAAAAATATGACCAAGATTCGCGTGGACAAAAAAGAGAGTAAAAAATTCAATCCAAATTTTCGTCAGATACGTCTATGGTTCAGCGATGGGCGGCAGCTAGAGTTGCGGGTGGTGGTGCGGCGGTTGGGGAGGGCTAGGGTTGGGAAGGTTTGCCGAACAGGTAGCTAGCCGCTGGAAGGGTGCTAGGGATGGGGGCTTGATGTGAGTTTTCTGGCACTTAAAAAGATGTAGTAATATAGGATAAGAGTACGAGTATCATATCCACAGAGACGGAAAAAGGGAATCAGGAATTAACTAGTTTCAAAGATTAAAATAAAATAAATGCAATTGTGCGAAATTTGGATTGTTTTGATCATCAAAACGATTTTTCATTAATATAAAGCAAACACGCAAGACAAAATCCAGATAGCTATTACATATCCGATCATAAGCCCTGACTCGCTAGACACAAAACGGGCAAGAAGAAGCCTAAAATGATTGAAAGTGCAGTATTGCCTATCAAAAGTTCTTCAAAAATCAAAATACTCCAACCACACATTCTTGAACTGAAATAAAACTAAGTACTACAAAAGGAAAAATAATACGAGAATAAAAATTTTCCCCAAATTTCTTCCTGTCTTGGAGGTGGTTCCGGAAGAGGGCGAGCTGCAGTAGTATGGTAGAAAAGAATTTCAACCCCCCTGGAAAATTAATTTGAAACTCTATTCTTCTTGCACTCGCCAATTTGCTCTTGCCAATTCGCTCGTTGATATTTGCCGTTGAAACACATGTCCAAGGTGCAGAAGAAAACTTTGTCATATTGCCTTGTGTTTCTTCGCGCACAAAAATACAATTTGCACCCCACCGCCCTTGCGACGTTCCTAAACTCCAAAGAGAAAAGCCGCATGAAGCTCTCGTTCCACGAAAAACTCAGCTGACGAACGAAACTCGAATGGCAGAAACAAAAAACCCTAACAAAATGTAGGGAAGACGACCACTCCTCGAAACAATCGATAGCGGAGAAGAAAACTCTAGCGGTGAAAATCCACCCTAGAGAGAGGTCTCAATGATTCCTACTACCAGTAATCCTTATTCATTGAAAAGCTGTTGTAGGCCGATTCACGATTGCAGGCTGCGCGCGGCTTGCGAAATTTGGATTGTTGAAATAGTAAAATGCGAATAAAATATTAAACTAAAGGATTATTTCTAATTAATAACATAAGGGAACATGGATTGATTTTGGGGTAACCAGATTTCAAGGCTGATCAGGCATAATCACATGAAAATTATTTAATTGAGAAACGCCGGTGAATATTCAAGAGATATCAATTAAAATATTCAAACACAAATTAAATAAAGATCATGCAATTAATCTCTCAAGAATTTAACCCTAGATTATGATTAATCTCTTCATCAATCCCAAATCCCTAATTAAAACTACTCACAATTCATGATTGAGCAATCAATAGATTGAGACGAAAAAAATTAATTGTCATTAATTAAATAGTTAGAACTTACAAAGAATCTCACAATCTTGATGAACAAGGCTTGAAAAGCTCTCAAAAAACGTAATCTAGTTCATCTCTCAAAAGGGTCCCAAATCCTCTCAAATTAACCTCTAACGCCGATGTCTGGTTCAAATTCCGGATTTTTGCTTCTAAATACAACAAATGCAAACCAAATTCGATAAACCATGACTTGAGCTAATTATACGCTTTTACTCAAATAATATTAGGAAATGTGACAAAACTCAATCCAAACACACATCAAATGCGTGTTGAAATACGAACTTATAAGGGTTGTGGAAGGGCATGGGTAGGGCTGAGGCTGCGGAGTGCGCAGTGTGGGGTGGTAGCGGCACCTGGGCTGGACGGTGGCCTCTGGGTTTAGGTTTGGGGTGTTGGGGCAGGCGATCTACCTGGAGACAGCAGTGGCGGTGCCGAAGAGGTGATTGCCGATGATGTTGGATTGTCACTGTGTTACCGGAAAAAGTCACCGAAAAATTCTCTGGGGATCACTATGACATAGTTCACGGTGACAGTGACATTCATAAGTAACCTGAAAGTCTGAGGTGTCACTGACGAGCGATTGGTCACTATAAGGCGACGACGAATCGCTGTCGGTGGTGGTGTAAAGTTCCACTGGAAAAGGTTGTCGAAATTTTTTTCAACAGTCGTAGTGACATATTTCATAGTAAAAGTGACACAAAAATCTGATAGTGACATATAATAATGACATAAAAATCTTATATTGACATACAATAGTGATATGATATTATTCCAAATATGTGACTTTCTTAATCACATCATGTTTTTTTTGTAAAAATGATCACATTTTTGGAATTAGCTAATCAAGAATAACCTCACCAATTTCAAAGAATTAAACTAAATCAACCCATTTTGGTGTTACTAAATAGGCTCCTAAAATAATATTTAACATATGAACCGCCACACATACTTCAACAACAAAACTTAGCAAAAAAAGAACTCAAAGTCACGTTCAACAAAAATTGTTTGGTACATGTTTCCATTTGAAAATTGAATTTACGCTCTGTTTTGGAAAAACAATGAGAAGAAACTTGTGGAAAATAAAAAGGAAAGAATTTAAAAAGAAGTGCAAAATAAAGACGTTTAAAATATACGGATGTAATAAATATGGGTAGAAAACAAAGATATAAAAATGTGAGA